TTTATGGCCCCTGTCTCTGGAGAACTCAGCGCATTAACGATCTCTGGGGTGTGAATCTCTCCGTAGCTGTGGGGGAAGGGGCAAGGATCCTTGGTGCTCATTCCTCACTGAAGCAATTGGACATCAGGGCTGAGCAAGGCAAATCTGAGTGCATTCCTTCTTTCTTATTTTCTTCTTCCCGCATGTGAATCGCCAGCTCATGCGTGCCCTTTCATCTATCTATAGGACCAGAATGGCTCCAGGGACTGGGGGTGGGGGCCGGAGAACAGGCTTTTCTTTGTTCATGTGAATGATTGTGGTTGAGGTTTTCTCCCTTGGGAAGTGAGTATGAGCAGAGCTTTGTCTGAAGGAGTTCATTTCCTCTGCACAAGTGTCCCTGGTGTCTTTGGGCTCAACCTGATTGTGGCTACAGTGGTTGCTGGTGACTTCCAACTCTGTACTTGCATGATTTCTAATTCCTGTGAGAGCAGAAAAGATGGCCCTGAGTCTTATTCTCAGATCAGCAGATGGGATGGGAAAATGTTTGTATAAATTATCAAACTTTACCTTCCCAACACCGTGGCGTGGGTATTTGAATATGCCTAGGTTGGTAGGTCGTCAACAAGGAAAGCCGAGCTCAGAGTGTGTAGATCTGTGGTCCCTATGACCCCAGGCCATGGACCATACCAGTTAGTCGCCTGTTAGGAATTGGGCCGCACAGCAGGAGTTGAGAGGTGGGTGAGCGAGGAAGTTTTACCTGAATTTACAGCTGCTCCCCGTTGTGCGCATCACTGCCTGAGCTACACCTCCTGTCAGATCAGCGGCGGCATTAGATTCTCATAGGAGCACGAATCCTGCTGTAAACTGTGCACACAAGGGATCCAGGTTGCGCGCTGCTTATGAGAATCTAATGCTTGATGATCTGAGGTGGAGCTGAAGCAGTGATGCTAGCACTGGGGAGCGGCTGCAAATACAGATTATCATTAGCAGAGAGGTTTGACTGCACAGAGACCATAATAAATCAAATGCTTGCAGATTCATATCAAAACCTATCAGCAAGTGGCAAGTGACAATTTAATAATAATAGAAATAAAGTGCCCAATAAATGTAATGCACTTGAATCATCCCAAAACCATGCCCCCCTTCCCCTGGTCCATGGAAAAATTGTCTTCCATGAAACCAGTCCCTGGTGCCAAAGAGGTTGGGGACCACTGTTGTAGGTGATTGATTCCTGAATAATTCTTTGTGGTTGGTTAGACTGAAAAGAGAATATCGCACTTAAATTTGAGGCCCTTTGATTTTTACGAGTGGCCACTCTGTATGGTTGGGACTCAGGAACACCAGAGTAATGGGTGGCGAGAGCATGTCTATGGCTAATGTCCTCCGATGTGCACAGTTTTTTGTGGGTTAAAACGTAGCCAGACAGCACAGAAACTACTTCTCACTTATTTTCCGATTCTTCTGTCTGTGAATCATTTGAGCCTGAGCCTGGATAGCTGTTTCAGTCTGGAAAAGTGATGTTTTAAAGAAGGTACCTAAGCCATTATTATACAGAGCAAAAAGATAAATATCACTAAGAATGGAATGATTTATACCGCAGACCACGAAAGACATAAATTTAGAGTGTAAATTACAAGATAGCTCATGTGCAAAATTGTTGCAATATTTATACTAGTGTTTATTAAAATTTACATTTGAATAAAAAGGTGCAAAATGTAAATGGGGCTGAAAAGGAGTTTTTGGAAAAAAATGTAAAATAGCCTATACGAGTTTTTGGAATAGACGATATGAACAGTACTCTATGCAGATTTGTCTGCTAAAGCGTGAAATATACAATGGAATGGGGAAGAATAAGATCACTAAATCCCTGCCTGAATTTCCTTCCTCCCTGTCCACTGATACTTTCCGGTGATTCAAGTCAGCACTGAATCTCGAAGGAAGTGCCCCTTGTCAAAAGCCATAGAGATGAGGTTGAGGATTCTGGACAGATGTCGAGACTGGATCCGTATTTGAAAGACTGATTTTATTTCACTGATGTTTTCAAGGTTGAAAATTTTTGTCTGTATTCATTAGAGGGGAGTGATAAATCTCTAATTTTTACTTTGCTAATAACAGTGATGAGCTTTTGTGTTTCATTAAGGTTAAATGAATCTCTGTCGTCCTGGCTCAGCCTTTAACTCCACGTGTGACCTTGGGAAAAATCTTTTAATTGTCTAGGACTCAGTTTTCTCATCTGTAAAATGAGGGGGTTGGACAAGATGAGAGCTAAGACAGACCACCCTTCTTTCCCACCCTCCTGGGTGGGAACGTACCATGCCTGGTAGTTAGGCCCCACAAAGGTGATTAAGACACATTGCTCTTGTCCTCAGGAGCTCATGATCTACATAAATAACTCATTATAATACGAGCTATAATTGCAAAATGCACAAATTACTCCAGGAGCACAGAGGCAGAAAGTGAATTCCCTCTCTGTGGGGACAGACTTCACAGGGGCTGTGACATTTGAAGCCTGAGTAGGAGGACTCCACCAGGTGTGCAGGCTGGTCAGAAGGTGGGTGATTCAGACTGTGGGTTCCAGGAAGCAAACATGTGTGAAAGTGGTATATTTAGGAAGCTGCACACGGTCCTTCTCACAGTGTCTAGGCAGTGGCATCCCACATACTGCTGGCTCCGAATTTGTACTAATGATGAATTATTGAGGTTGGAGACTCCGCATAGCAGGTACAAATTAGAGCAACGTCAAGGTTGTCCTGTAATGGCACTGATACGGCCTATTTACATCCCACTTGGCTTTCTTGAGTGTGAAAGACATGGTGGTACTTTAGCCAACGTCGTGGGAGTTATGAGCCTACAATCTGTTTTAGTTGTGCCACGGCCGCTGGCCTGGATGTGCCCTTGGGAGCCTGGGTGTGGATATCAGTGACACTCCTCATGAGGGTCAAGTGTGCCCAAGTGGAATGAAACTGTCACCATAGGTCTCTTCTTGCAGTCTGTTAACCCACCAGGTGTGTGTCTCATCCACACCATTCATGGACCCTTGGCACTTTGTGACCTTGTAGGAGCTGGCGTTTCTTGTGTCAACTGAGAGCAGTGATGACAATAACTTTAGTTTTAAACTTTAGATTGTAATGTAAGATGTGTTCATTGTTTAAAATTAAAACAATACAGAAATGCTTACAGAATATATAAAAAAGACCCCAAATTCCATCTCCTGCAGATAAATGACATTTCTATAATCATCATCACAGATCTCTCTTCACGTAGCCATACACACACACACAGTACATAAATGGGCTCAGGATTATATGTTCCATTTTTTTATCTGATTTTTTTTTTTTTTTTTTGAGACAGAGTCTCACTGTGTCATCCCAGGTAGAGTGCAGTGGCCTGATCATAGCTCACTGCAGCCTCAAACTCCTGGGCATAAGCACTCCTCCTGCCTCAACCTCCCAAGTAGCTGGGACTACAGGTACATGCCATGACAGCTGGCTAATTTTTCTATTTTTTGTAGTGACAGGGTCTTGCTCTTGCTCAAGCTGGTCTCAAACTCCTGATCTCAAGCAATCCTCCCTCCTTGACCTCCCAGAGTGCTAGGATTACAGGCGTGAGCCACCACACCCAGCCTATCTGATATTTTTATTTAAAAGTAATCAAAGTCCTTAAATAATCATTTAAAATAGCTGCACAATAATCCATTGTATAGGGTATATTATTTTTGGTTTGAGTCCTGTGTTTTGGAATATCCAGTGTTTTGCCATTATAAATAATAGCATGATGAACATCCTTGTAGACTTCTTTTATACCTTTAGTTATTTCATTAGATTAAAGTCCTAGAAATGGTATTGTTGGGTCAGGGAACGCATGTTTAACATTTCTATGTACACTGTCAAACTGTCTTCTAGAAGTTTTGTGCTATTTTACAACCCTACCATCAGGGCAGGAACTGCTCACGTCTGTGGGGTGCTCTCTGTGTCTCTGCCAGTGCTCTGTCTTTAACTTACTGAGTGAGAAAGAATGAGCAGATGAGAGTACTTTTGGGGTGATTGGGGGGCAGTACAGGCCAGAGGGAGCCCGAATGCACGTGGGAGATGTCAAAAAGTGCCTGGCATATGTACATATGTTTACCAAAAGAGATGCACCAAAATGCTGATCACAGTTCCTGATTGCCAGACACTGAGGACAACCCAAATATCCACCAACATTAGAATGGAGACATAAATTGCCATATAATCACACAGTGGAATACTATAAACCAGTAAGAATGGATGGTCTGCTATGTGCTACAGCATGGAGGACTCCAAAAGAGTCCAGGCAGAAAAAACCCATGCTGTACCAGTCCAGTCATCCAAAATTCAAAACCAGGCAAAATGCATTTATGATGTTAAAAGTCATGCTAGTGGGTACCATTGGGAGGGATGGGTGTCAGTGACTGCTTGTTTATGGTTTTCACTAGATATGTGTGTTCTAGTGCCAGAGAGAGTGCTTGCGTATAGTAGCCTCTCAAATCTTTGTTGAAAAAATACATTAATATTTTTTCTCCTGTCTAACAGGCTTTGACCATGCTTGCTCCTCTGTGCTCTTTGATAAGTTACTTAACCTTCTAGAGCCTCAGTTTCCCCATCTATAAAATGAGAATGATAATTGAACCTATAAGGTGGTTGCAGAAATAATAAAATTAATATTTCTTAATAATAACCACCAGTTTTTCTGTTTACTATGTTCTGGGCACTGTTCTAAGCCCTTAAAACATATGACAATATATTTAATCTTTCCAATAATCCTAGCTATTTTATGGTTTAGAGAACTGTAGGTCACAGAGGTAGTAACCTAGTCAGGCTCATTCCAGAGCCTGAGCTCTTAACCACTGTCTCTTGTGTTAAAGGAAATATTGTGCAAAGAATGCTTAATACAGTTAGTATATATTGGCTATGATTATTACATTGTCCTTGTCAACATCGATGCTAATATTTTTTTCTCCTCTCTCTCCCCTTCCCCTCCTCGATTTTTGTCTCTCCTGGCAGATGTTTTTCAGCAAGGTAAGTGTCACCGTCTCCTGCCTGCTTTCTCATTGGCTGTGTTCTTTTGGCCTGTGTGCAGAGAGGTCTCTGTGGATGTGTCATGTGGACTTTAGGGGGCACCATGAGGACAGTGGGCTGTCCAGCCTCTGCTTCTTCCTCTGACTCACACTTGGGGGCAGGGCAGAAACTGGATAGTTGGGGCAGGGACGATGGGGGAGGGGTCTATGGCTGGGCCCTGACAGGGGCAGGGCTGCTGTGGGACCGGTGAGGAGCAGGTGTCTTTGGAGGGGAATCGGGTGGAAGGCGCCTGTCCCTCGGGGCTCCGGTGTCAGGGCCAGCTGCTACTTGGTCAGGGCTGCCCACGCCAGGGCCAGTGGAAGTCTCTTTGCCAAGCAAGCATGTTGCTGCCGTGGAGGTGCGGGCAAGGCCATGGCTGGCTGGCCACTGTGTGCCCTTCAACCTGGCTGTGCCTCACAGCCTCTCCAGCTGGGACTGAGACAGGGCCAGGTGAGGGTGTGCAGTGTCATCTGTTTTACCAGCAAGGTCACGTGTTCCGGGGAATTGGAGACAGAATCCTAACCCCACATCAAGTCTTCTGCCCCATGTTTTAGTCCCTACTTAGGATGCATAGCCACTGTGCTCTGGGAAGGAGACTCACGGGTCATAGCCTCCTTGTTGAACATTCTAGATACACATTAAGGGGGAATTGTCTTTTTATCACAGCTTGACACTACTGGGTAAAAGTGGCAGGGCATCACTGTTTATATTCAAGCTGGGAAATATGTTTGTAACACAACACACATCTGCTGCGTCTTTCTGGAATCCAAGGCTGGCTTAGAATAAAAGAGACTGGTTTAAAAATACATCCAGGCATTCCATAAATAGACTCCAAATAATCTTACAGGCTTGATATTTTCACAACTGTTATTTCACCCCAAACATGCAGCCTGCGTTAGGGAGAATATCTGCTCTCTCTGATAGAAGCGCAGTAGTGGGTAACAATGAGGGTACTGTTGTGTTGTCTTTTAAGAGTCTAGAGTCATAGACTTACTTTTATAAATAATTCATAAATCCCAACAAGCTCTAAGTAATAAGTTCCATTTGGCTAGAGACTAAGAGATGAACAAAATTGAAAAGGTGTCGCGACTGTTCGTGTACTGAAAGCGCTGCTGTCAGGGCCCGTTGCTGCAGTGAGTTCCTTCCTTGACAAATTGGGGGGTCAGTGGGGCACTCTGGGAGGAGAATATTATATTTTTTTCTGTGAGCTAGAATGCAAGCACCACTCCACACTGAATTGCGTTTCTTCCCTTGAAACACAAAACGCATGAGTTTGGAAAGTCAGGACGTGTGTGCTGAGGCTCCGAGCGATGCAAAGGGGGAGGCTTGAGTCAGATCTGGCTTTTCTGCACACAATGGTGAGCGTTCACGGTCGTTGTAATTGGCATAAAAAATGGCTTACCAGACTGCCTATTGTCAAGATTGCCGCCTTTTTTAATCAGTCATGCCATTCGATTGATGCGATTTGCCTGTCAGTAGCAATGATACGCAGAGCAAAAGTTATAATCATCTACAAATCACTGGCTATCGAGACTTAATAGCATCTGCCAGAGACGGAATCCGCTAGCTACCCATTGCCCTGTGCGAGGTGGGCAGCAGCTCCCTTCTAAGACGTTACTAGGATTTCAAACGGAGAGAACTGAACTCGCTTTTGTGAATTATTTACACGGCTCTGGCCTTATCGGACCATTTCGTGCAGAGACACATTCTCTGAAATGATGGCAGAGAGCTCGCCAGCTGGTACCCACTTCGTACCTTTGTTTCTGGCCATTCTGCTTACAAAAATATCACTCAATAAAACGTTCAGCCGGCGACTGTCATATCAGACCAAGACAAAATGTTCCGTGTCTTAGAGACAAAATCTAAAACCATGATCTCCATAAATGTCTTCTGTGGTTGAAACTCTGGGCCGGAATTGTGCCATTAACTTGAAACATGGGAGCGATGAATTGTGCTAGAAATCAACAAACAGAAAACCATGTGGCTTCCAATGAACAGATGCCACCGGGTTGTCTTCTGAAGCCCATCCACGCAATGGCGACTTTGAGTGGCTCTGCCTTCCTGAACACACCATGGGCATCCGGGCCCTGCTAGCTTTGGCTCGGCCAAGGAGTCCTGGGCGGTTGTGGGGAAATGCTGTGTTGCAAGTGTGTGCTCCTGGCAGCGAGGGAGGGAGGACTTGGCCCAGAGGAGTCCCTGCCTGTTCAGGCTGCTGTGTACCCTGGCACGTCCTGGCAGGGAGGCAGGCTTGCAGTTGACAACATCAGACATTCTCAGAGGAAACAGAAGTTATTTCCTCTGGATTGCATTATCTTTTATTTCACTACAGATCAATCTTGTTATAGTAGGTGACAGCATAGCAGATACTGCTGGGCTTTTCTCTGCTGTATCTGTGGTGCGTGCACGTGGGAGGATGTTTCTCCCGTGCTCCTTTGCCATTTTGTAGCTTCTTTCTGTTCTTTCATCTGTAAATGCCACTTGCTGTGACGCTTAGACCACAGGGTCTGAGGACGGTCAAGGACCAGTGGGCCTGCAGCTGGGCCTTTCTAAATGAGAGTTGCAGGGCCACAGGGCCACGTTTTCAAGGAGCCTTAATTGACCTACATTCCCTGTTGTCCACAGAGCTCACGAGCCACTGGGTGGCTCGCAGGAATTCTGAAGTGCCGTGGAATTGCTCTTCACAACATCAAATGCAATTGAAAATGTTGTATGTGCATGCATGTTTAGAATCTCTAGTTTCAGAGCACTTTTATGCCAGCTGTTTAATAACGATGAAGTCAGGACCACACACACACACACACACACAAACACACACAAACACACATGCCTCATTTGAGGTTACTGAAGCACCTTTTGAATGCTCATCCGTAGCCTCAACCTTGATTCTGAAATTGAACAGCGGCTTGGAAATCAGAGCAATACCACTCAGCAGAGTGTTTTAAAGCGTAAGTGGGCACAGTATAAAGATTTCACCGTTGAGTTCATTCTCTATGCACTGTCAACTGAAGTCCCTTAACGACTCCGAGCCCAAAGAGGCATAGCCTTTCCTCCTCTCCAGTTCTCAATGGGATCCAGGATCTTGTAAAGGCAAAAATTTTTCTTCCAACTCAAGTCATTTGTGATACCTCTCAAACATAGTGCACAGCGTATTTATTCTGCAACTGGTAAACCGGTAAAAACATGCCAGGCACTTTCTAGGCCTAGGGAATAAAGTGAACAAGACAGCTAAGGCCCCCGTTCTCATGGAACTTACAGCCTAGTTTTGGGAGACATTGGGTAGCCAAGCATGCAGTAAATAAACAAGGTAAATTCAGAGAGGGATGAGTGAAGAGAATATCTCAGGGTAATGTGCTAGTGGCTAGGAGGGCCACTCTAGATGGGGCAGCCAGAGAATGACAAGAAGGACCATGTGTTGGAGTATCACAGAGGAAAAGCCTGTTAGGCGGGGACATCCCGATGCTCCAGGCACAGAAAGAAACTGGGGTGTGGCTGGAGCCCGAGAGTGAAGGGGGGAGTGGTGTGAAGTGAACAAGGAGAGCGAGGCAGGCGTGCAGTCTGGACGCAGAGGGAGGGAGTCCGAGGTGGGTGTGAAGCAGAAGAGTGACATGGTCATGTTTACATTTCAAAACGCCCGCTCAGGATGCTGGGAAGATGCACAAGAACAGTGCATGAGAAGTGCAGGCCAGCACCAGGGCTGAGTGCTGAGCGGGCTCAGGCCCTAACTGCCACCCCTAGTGAATCTGCTCTTCTGGGCAATGGGAACAGGCAGCCCCATTCCCACCCAGCTCTCCTTTGCTGAGTGCCTGATTTCTGCTTGCTCTGCCTGCAGAGGGCCTTGCGCCTGTGACTTATACCTCCTCTCCTTAAGGTTGGCCAATTATGCTCATCAAAGACAGCATTAAAATATTCCCATATATCTTTAAAAAAACCACTTTTCTTCAATACATACATATGTATCATATATTTAACCCAGCTAAGTATGATGCAGAGGAAAGATAGCAAATTTCAAGATCTCTAGGACCACATTGGCAACAAAGAAAGGCCCTTTGGGGGACTATGGTCCCCTACAGACGCCATGCCCTTTTGCCATGGGCAGCCACTCCCCAACTCTGCAGAGTGAGACCAGGCAGGAATTTGGATTCACAATTGCCAGATATCCAGGAGTTTCAAGAGAAGCCAGTAAATTGGGATGGCATGGCAAACTTTATAATTTTTAAGCTTTTAATTAAAGCTTAAAGAGACAAACTAAATCTATCTGTGGCCAGAATGGCCTCTGATCTCAGATTGGTGGCCAGTGCTTAGGAAACCTCGATTGTGCTTCCAGCAAGGTTGTTGCCTTTGTGGAGAGAGCTTGGGCCAGGTGCTTTGACCTCTGGCCTCAGTTTTCTCATCTGTAAAATGAGAGAGTTGGAGAAATCCCTGACCCTGCTTGGCTTTGGGCTGATAGTCTATCTTGAGAAGTTTTAAGTGGATTTGAGTTAATAAAGTAGAGACATATCCTTTGTACAGGTTTTGGCTATCCTCTAGATAACTTGGGTGAAAGCAGAGACTTCCCTCATGGCTGCAAATTAGGTTAAAAGAATATGGTTTCAAAAGAGTAATGTACATGCTCATTTTGAAAAATCAGCTCTTTCCCACATGGGTAAGTACTAGAATTCACAATGGATGGCATCGCTTTTATTAATTTGAAGAGAACAATAAATCACAGCTTGGTTTCTGGCAGCCAACCCCAGCCTGTAAATTGTTGGGGTGGGCTTGCGGTAACATGGGCCTGCTGCCATTTATAATGAGCTTGACTTGAGCTATTTGCATATTTCAAACTTGTGGTCAACTTGCTGGGGCTGGTCTTAGGTTTTCTCAACCACTTCTGAAAACCCAATTTATCATAAAGCTATGACCCTTTAGCCATGAATTATGTTCCCCCTGAAAATGTTTTGCATTATGATTATTTTCTTTATGGG